GCTTTTTGAAAGACACCATTAACAAAGATTTGATAGGAGAATAATAACTTAAGTCATGACAACAATCTCTAAATTTTAAAAAAACTTATTTATCAATACCAAAACCTATATAAATTGATATGGTATATTTCAAAAAAATTACTAAGCAAGAAAAGAGTTGATATTATTAAGAATGTTTTTGCTTATATTATAGAGATTCTTAGCACATTGCTCAACATTATCTAAAGAAGCAATAAAATTACAAAATAAAGAAGATAGTTGCTAAAAAAGATAATATATTGGAAAATAAGTTTGCCTAACTACAATAGGGATCATGCAAGTAGAGACTTGCTGAACACATAATAAAGATCTTATTATCTTTTTAAATCCTTCACCTTGCTTTATATTAGATTTTTATTTTAGAATCTCAAAATTACAAAGTCCTTGTCTTATTAGAATCAAAGCTTCAACTTATTTTATAGAAGAAGGCTTTTAAAAATATATATATTTCTCTCTCTCTCTCTATATATATATATATATATATATATATATATATATAGATATATTTGTATATATATTTCGTCAAGAAAACTAAGTCTTTGCATGTAGAAGTCATAGATGGTTGTTTATTATTTTTTTGAGATATTATCTATAAAACTATTTTTTTAGATGTAGCAATTAATAGACATAATAGCTTATTAATATTTATAGTAATTATATCTTTCTTTAACCTATTTTTTTTGGATTATTGTGGCTAATGAAGTATAACTCTCAAATAAATTACATATCTTATAATGTTGAATTTTTTTATAGCATAATTCAAACTCTTCTTATCCAAGTAAAAAATCATAAGTCAAATACAACCAAATATTTATTAGTAGGAGCAAGACTTGTCATGCATACTATACAAGAAGGATCACTTTTTGTTTTTTTTATGCCACACCTATTTTTAGTGGTAAAAAGACTTCAAGTTACATTCAAGCTAGTACTAAGAATATCAAGACATTTTAAGAAGAAAAATTCGAATATTCTTTTAAAGCATCATTCTTATGATTGCTTAATTAATTTTAGAAAATAATTCAATTATTATTTGAACAATCTATAGTTTATGACAAAAGAAGTTAGATGCACTCAAAGAATACATTAACAAGAATCTAATTAAGAACTTCATATGCCATTCAAAATCTTTGCTAGGGATATGCATCTTGTTTGTTCAAAAAAATGATAGATTATTGTGGATATATATAGAGTATTAAAGATTCAATATGAACACTATTAAGAATAGATATCATATATCTTTTATAGTTAGAATTTTTAATCAGTTAAATCAAGAAAAAATTTATATTAAAATAGATTCACAAAGAGCATACAATTTAGTATGTATTAAAGAAGGAGATGAGTGGAAGATTGTATTATAAACTAAAAATAAGTATTCTGAATATAATGTCATATCTTTTGGACTCATAAATGTACCAACTACTTTTCAACATCTAATAAATGATGATTTTTGAGAGTTTCTAAATAATATTATTGTCTCTTATAAAGATAATATTTTAATCTATTCTAAATATATAAAAAATATAAATTTTATGTTTATTGAATATCACAAAAACTTAAAAATACACAACTATATATCGAGATGGAAAAGTGTACATTTCACATAATTCAAGTTGATTTCTTAGAATACCTTATTTCAAATAATGGCTTTAATATTTATTTTGAAAAAATTCAAACTATTATAGATTAAAATACTCTAAAAATAATAAGAGATGTATAATATTTTTAGAGATTTTTCTATCTTTACTATATCTTTATCAAGAACTTTTTTCAAGTTACAGATTCATTTACATATTTGATGTATTAAAGACAAACTTAAGTATAATTTAAAGTTTCAAAGTCAAATTATATTTATATATCAATCTTATATCATATTAACTTTTATAATATTTTTTTTATAAAAATAGATACAATTGATTTTTTTTAGATGCAATAATATCATAAATAAAAACAAATGATATACTTCACTCAATAGCTTTTTATTTACAAAATATTTTAGTCACTAAGATCAATTATGAGATCCATGACAAAGAAATTTTTATAATTGTAGATTCATTTCAAGAATGGTGTCATTATATGAAAGAAACTTCTAGTTAAATCATTGTGTATATAGATTAAAAGAATCTCAAATATATTATATCAATATATATTTTAAATAGTTGTTAAGTCTAATAGAGCATATCTTTGATAAGATTTGAATTTAAGATCATGTATTAACTAAGAATATAATAAGATTTCTTAAATTCTATTTTTAGATATTCTTATTTTATACCAAAAGAATAAGATATAATTTTTTATTGACGACAAATAATAATTTTGAAGCTAAAATAATTTCATCTTTTAACAAAAAAATTAACATTGATTGTTGATCTAATTTTTTTGAGCAAGTTTAATCAAATATATCCTTAGATTTTTTTTTATTATTATATTAAAAATAATATATCTAAATCTTATGATATTTCAAAGTATACATTCAAAAACAATCTTTTCTATTTTGAGAGAAGCTTATGTATTTCAAAATATTAAATACAATTGTGTGCTCTTTAAATCTATCACAATTTTTCAACTATAAGATATTATGGATACATAAGACTTTGAAACTAATATCTATAGATTTTTTGTGGCTTCAAATATAAAAGGCTGTTAAAAACTTTGTATTATTATGTGATATTTATTTTTGATCTTTAATAAATATTTATTTAAAAAATTTGTATTATTATGTGATATTTATTTTTGATCTTTAATAAATATTTATTTAAAAATTTTGTATTATTATTTTCAAACTAATAGACAAATCAAATAGATGAATTAAGTTTTAAAGTAGTATTTGAGATGTATTATCAACTACCTTCAAGATAATTAGACAACTCTTTTGCCATTCATAAAATTTTCTTATAATAATATAATATATCTTTTTAATCAATAACTATTTTTTTAATTATGATCATCATTTATAACTTGATATTTTTGACTTTTCAAAAAGTAATAATTTTTTGGAAAAATATTTGTAAAATTATTTATTATAGCTACATGCAAAAATGAATTCACAATTAAATGAAGTTCAAGAAAAAAAAAAAAAAAAAAATCAGTGGAGATGTTTATAGTAAAGAATAACTATAATTTTACATTTGCAACAATATATGATTACTTTATTGTAATATCAAAATTATTTATCTTTTTGATAAGTTTGATTATCATAAATTTGGATCATTTTTTATTTTTAAATAAATCAATCCAATTGCATATTGATTATACCTATCAAAGTCTTAAAAAATCCATCATGTGTTCCATGTATCTTTCTATGAGCCATATAAGTTAATGAAAATATCTAAAAGAAGACAAATTCCACTTCTTCATATAGAATTGGAGAATAATCAACTATTTAAAGTTGAGCAAATCTTAGATTGAAGGCGACACCAAAGTAAAATGAAATATCTTATACATTATTATAGATATGATATTAGTGAATGCACATAGAAACCATTAAAAAATCTTACAAATGCAATAAAGAAGGTCAATACTTTTAATCAACAATATCCATTAAAACCAATATAAAAAATGAAGATGAGATTAACCCTCCTTGTAAAATTTGTTCCTAAAAAGAGAAATAATATCACAAGTATACACAATTATATAGATAAGAAGTACCAAATAAAAAATAAATGAAAGTAGATGTGATAATATTTTGTAAAGAGGCTTCTTAAAAACTCTATAGAAGCAGATTTGACTTTAGATGTATTTGTAGTTGATTGGTAGGTTATAAAATAGGCAAACAAGTTGGCGACATATTACACATGTTGGAACCTTATAGTACTAGTTGGCCATATAGCGTACACATAAGAAACTAATCTTATAAGTTAGACATGGATTGGAGGTCTTATAGAATATTACCATATAGCTCTTAGTTAGATAGTATATATACAAAGAAGAGTAAAGCCTTCTTTATTTTTATCAATATCTTTTTTTATTTTTAGTCTTGTTTCAAGATTCTTTAGTCTTCTTGTTTTTAGTAATAACCATTCTAATTTTTATACTATACTTCTTTTAAATGAATATCTACTTTTTGAATTAACACAAGAGTGTATTGAGGTTTTTATTGTTTGTGATTCATTTTCTTGACATCTATATCAAGTGACCAAATCCAATAAATTCAATAATAATATATGTCAATTTATTAATATATATATATATATATATATATATATATATATATATCTTTAATAACATAACTTTTTAAAAGTTCTAAATCTTTTAGTTTTACAAAATATTCTATAGTTCTAATAGATATGGTTTTTAAAAATATAAGTTTTTAAACATATTCAAAATACTTTCTAATATCAATATAATATAATAATATTTTATATTATGATTTATATTTACACATCTTTAATAATATATCATTAATAAGAAAGATTATTTTATATATAATTATGTATTTAATCATCAATTCAAATGATTTATTTTATACATCTTTCAAAACATATTTAAATATGTGTATTTTTAAATCCAAATACAAATTTATTTTATAGTTTCTAATAAAATAAAATAATTCAAATAAATATATAGAAATACTATTAATTATTAATGATATATATATATATATATATATATATATAGATAGATAGATGTATTATTAATTTTAAATAAGTTGTCTTCTATTTGTCTACAACACTATTGATTACCATTGATTATAACAAATAAACCTTCTTTGCAACTCTTATTGTTTACAACCATCTTATATTCTTTCTTAAGTTTCTTTTTTAAATCCATGTGCTTCAAATAATACCTCGATTAATATTTAGAGCTTAAATCAAATCATGCAAACAATTGTTCTAGTACAAAATAGCTTCATTAATATATAGAGACTAACAATATTTTATCAACATTTTGCAAATGTCAAGAGTATACTACCAATAAAATTATTATTATGAAATAAGTTACCTCTTTCATCTGCCAACTCCTGATGAGTAGAGTTTGGTTCCAACAAACTCATGACTAAGGAATGATCAGTTCTAATAGTCATGACCATATGTTTAACAAAATCAAATATGAATTCGGCAAGAAAGACTGAAAAATCAAGTATTCAGCGTGCCTTCTATGGTGCATCAAAGTGCATGAAAAATAATTATAATTTATCGTCTAATCGACTGGAGAATCAAAATAGTGCATCTTATTCCCAATACAAACTCACATGTTCCAGCAAGAATTATTAGGATGACCACCACAGGTAAAAAGTTCGTGTGATATTCTAAAAGCATCTCTACTCATTCATAACTTTGACGAGGAATAAGACCCAGTCTAATAGCAAAATGGCTAGAATTATTGGGAATGACCAAGAATTTGAGCTCCTAATTCTCGAGCGAGCTCTTGTTCTCGACCCAAGACAACTGATAAGTGATCCGCTCCAGGTATTCTGGATAGCATCACATTCGAGAATTTTTGGCTCAGCGCAATGCCACATTCAACAGAGCAAGTCATGTCATCTTCTCCATGGATAACATGGACGTGCCGACCTGCGTTTGCAAGCTTCGCCATGGAGTGTTCAATGACGAAGGGTCCAACGCAGATGGTGTTGTGTAACATCTTAAAGGCCGACCGATGGCTGTGCTGCATATAGTCGTGTATGAAGGAAGGTGGCATCCTGCACGCAAGCCAACACACAGCAGTTTGAGATACAAAGTCCCTACCATGCTAATCATCTTAAGTTTGTTCCTAAGCTTCGTATAGAAAGACCGCAGGATATACTGAAGAAGGACTCTGACAAGATATGGAATATGTAGATAGAGAAGCTTTACCAACTTACTTTTCCTATGTTATTCGCTAAGAGTGTGGGACTTATTTGATAAGAATATCAAAAAGAGGGTAAGATAGAATTACCTGCTGCCTAATAACCTGGCGACGAAAGTCATAAGAGGGATCCAGAACCTGTGATGTTTGCAAAACACGAGGCAAACGACTCTTCCCAGATGCTCGTACCAGGACATGAGTGAGTGAACAAATGCAAAAATGGGCCAGATTTTCTGTGGTGCTACATTGCTCAAGGCGTACGAAGCAGGTGGCACGCCTGGTCTCGTTGAGAAGTAAAGCTGGATATTTGATAGCAGGTCAGTCATTTCCAAGAATCCATATCAAAGAAAATAGCACAAAAACACCAAAAGAAGGAGTCATGTTTCACAAAAACTTAAACCTTGTGAGTATTTCACTATTACTGAACATTCTTAGCGCATCTATAGTCGTAGGAGACGATTTTTTACTCAACTTTGCAGAAAACAAAAACTATCTGGCATGTTAATGAGAGGAGAAGCATCGCACCGGTGCAAGAATGGTAATAGAATTTACAGCAGCTGGATCTTGGCCAGCCAAAGCCAAAGCAATAGTGCATCCCATGGAGTGAGCCACCAAGTGGAACTTACGAATTCCATACTTCTCGAGGACAGATCTAAAAGAATGAATCGATATGCCAAGGTTATGATCCACCGGACTAGGCTCCAAACCAAATAAACTGCTAACTAAAGAAATCACCTCGCTATTTCATTCCATATTGATGCACCCCACAGTCTCCCCGTCAGAAGACAAAAGGTTTTCTCAAAATGTACCACAAGAAGAGATTTCAAGAGAATCTCATAAAATTAAGCACACAGCCCGGATATGGACGTTGAAAACCTAGCAAGTAACCTTCAAGCCACACAATACCCCAACATTACGAAGGAGTTTGCTTCTGAAGCGAGGCGCAACTTCGAGCTAATTTCCTTGCTAAGAAATCGTATAGACTACTCAATGAGAGCAATGTGAATCTTAGGTTTACCTGCGAATCATTTCCACATGGTCTCCATTAGTGTACAAGAAGTCGTCAGGTCGTGGGCTCTTGCCAAATCCAAGCACATCCACGGCAAACAAGCGATGGGAGGATCGAACTTCCGGAGACAAATGCGGCAGCACCGTGTCCACCCAGAAAGATGACGACGATAGGAAACCGTGTAAGAAAATGACATTGTGTGCAGCAGCTTTCGATTTGAAGTCTTCCCCATTCGCGACAGAAAAATCTGCACACCACAGATGAGGTCGTAAAAAACCTACACTTACATTTTCAGTCTCTCCGCGTTCATGCGTAAAGCGCCGCAACCTTAAACGAGTATATGCGGCATTGTACCTTTACAATCGGCGTGAACGTAGAGGGAATTCTCTCTCGTAAGCCAAGCTGTGCATATCTTGCACTGGCAGTCCGACCAACATGCCGACCGTGCACGGTTTTTTTTCACCACCTCCTGATCCAACGCATTTGACGACGAGGACACTACCGCCCAGGTCTTCGCCTTCAGTTTCCCCACAATGGCCGGTAATGTAGCTGCAAGTCTCGCCTTCTCCGCCTTGGCACCGAGTTTCTCCCCTCGGGAGTTCTTCCACACCCGACTCCACCATTTTCTCCGGTCATAAAGTGTGTGACTTGGACCAGTCCAAAAATCTTGCGCATAATTTCTCCCCTCCACCTGAAGCTTACTTGCGGTCGGGTGGGCGCAGTGGCATGGAGAGGAGTTTCTGTCAAACTGCCAATCCAGGAATCGAAACACAGGACATAGGAGCTTATCCACCAAGTCGCACAATCCGAACACGATGCAGTTGAGAACAGTAGCAAAAACCTCTGCAGTTCTCTCAAAACTTAGAAAAGCCATGCTCAAGCGGTACTTCACGGCGCTATATCCTCTACGCCTCCTCCGTTGACCTCGACGTCATGTGCTGTACAAGTGGAAGAATCCCCTGAATCGATTCATCCCGCATGAGATCAGCTCCTCTCACGCGTAATCCTCTTCGTCCCGCAAGTTATCAAAAACATTGTTTTATCAAGCAAGAGTTCCTAAACCTATCAATGAGTGTCCACGTGTAGAGAACCGTAACCTTGAGACCAAACTAAACTCCGGGACCGAATTCCTCGCAAGTGCCCAAGAGCGCGTCTCAACATAAAACCTATCACCACAATACACCCACAATTTCTTATGCTCTTCAATACAGGTCACAGCCTGTGCAAGAACCACTTCGCAGTCTGAGTTGCTAAAGCTATTGCCTCACCAACTGAATCTCGCAGAGGTTGTTGGGAGTTGCCAATCCTCCAAGAGTCAGCATTACATCTGGCGTTGTCAGCAGACCAGGTAGTTGCCACGAGTGAATCTGGGGATTTGAATCACCCTCTAGGTGAGTAAAGCAGTGGCAGCGCCACAGCGACAAATGGCTGCAAGCGAGTGCGCTCACTAATCACCTACCAATCCGGGGCTCCAGGTGTGGTCAAAATTAAGACTCTGGGTACCTCAGCGAATAGGAATAATCCTCGTGGGCGAAAGAAAAATGGGAAACGTCAAATAAGGGATACGAATATGTGGCGACGGCGGGGTGGCGAGGCGGCAGCCCGGTTCAACTTTTTCACTGACAAAACTCTAAAACAAAGCGGAACCCAACACAAAAAAAAGAAAACAGAATGAAGACAGCGCGAAAGGGAATGAATGGAAGCAAGACGCGCTCCTGGACGCAACGAGAAGTTATCAACCTTCAAGCGTCAGTCGTAGCGGAATTCAAAGCGGTTAAATTGCGAGAAACGACTCTCACGAGGAATGGAAACGCTCGTTGCACAATCATGCACATGAACAAGCATCCTTGTGACTCCCTTCCTAGAAGCGCCAACATTCTATGAACCGGTGGCGCATCAACGGCGATGAATATTGCACTCAGTTCCGAGAGAGAACACCCAGTACCAAACTGAGGCTTTCCGAGTGCTCAATGCGAAACTTACAAATCCTCCATATTTTCTACTGGATATGTATGGTCATGAGTCCCATCGTGCTCCATGAAAGCTTGACCATGGTCTCCATCTCCGGCTGGGGTGGATCTTACTCTAGGACCCCGCCATGGTAGAAACGAGGTCATCCCCACGCATAGCCGAAGACACACACAAGTATGCGTGCGGTTGTGCATTACAGGATGACATCAATGTTTACGCGATGCACAGCCCGCCCGGCGCGCAGCTGTGCGTCACAATGTAAACTTGGTGTTGACGATGTACGGACGCCTCGCGCAGGACCGTGTGTCGCAACACGCACTAAATGCCTAAAACACACATCGACACACTAAACTTGTGGCTGTGGCTGTATCTACTTCCAATTTGATAGGCTCTAAAAAAAGTGCAATTCTTCTAGTTTGGCATTGTAGCACCCAATCAGTAAAGGCTTCATCAAATTGGAAACGGTAGACAATACAGACACGCTTTGCAGCTAGGTTGAAGTAATCCATTGCCAAATACTGATGGTATTTGCTAAGGATGTTGATGATTAAGTATTGTGCCCAAAGTTGGTGCTTTCTTGAGTTGGAACTCATCTTTAGTTCAACTGGTAAAGGCAATTTGTGACATTTTAGGATTGTGATGTTTATGTTGAAAAATCTTGAGTTTTTAAGCATTGGTTAAGTTTGATTGAGGAGGCATGGTAGAAGAGAAGAGATAGAAGAAAGTAATAGAGAAGAAAAGTATAAGAGAGAAGAAGAGATGATTAGATGAATAGAAAATTAAATTGTTGAGTTGAATTGATGCTTTTTTACTTAGAATATAGTTATCTTTTTATACTTTTTCCCAAAAATTAATTAGTAAATATGTCCCATTAAATTGGTGAATATGCCCAACTTATTTATACCTATTAATGTCTATGAAGATTCATTATGTGTTTTATATATCTCTTCTTGAACTATATAAAATAATGAATATATTGGAACAAAGACAAATATCACTTCTTCTTATAGAAGTGGAGAATAATTAAGAATTTAATGAAGAAAAATTCTTTGACTCAAGGCGATACCAAAATAGGTTAGAATATCTTGTACATTGGCATGGATATGATATTAGTGAATGCACTTGGAAGCCAACCAAGAATCCTACAAATATAACAAAGAAAATTAATATTTTTCATCAACAATTAAGATAAGGAGTCAAAAAATAATAATAAAAAAAACTGAGTTAAAGATTCAAAAATTAATAAAAAAAAAAACTAAGATGAGGAGTCAAAAAAATCTTTGCTATAAAGCAAAATAAATCTAATAAAGATTTCATTCTATCTTCTATCCTTACTTGTAATTTTCTTTGTATTTATGGCACAAAAGAGATGAAAAATCCACAACAAGTAGATTCAATTTGAAAACTTTTATTTATTGATTTACCAAAAGTTTCATTAAAATTGTCATAATATTGAAGACAATATAATAAAGATGAAGATCCATAAGATTTTATTTTTTTATTTTTTTTAATGGATGGCAAGATACAATGCAATTAAAATCATAACCTTCAAAGATCTTAGTATTTGATGATATTATTAGAGGTAGAAACCGCTCTTATTAGTTCCAAATATTTAATTTGAAGGAAGTTATAAAAGCTTCAACTATGATCAAATAATAAGGTAGTCTTCTTACTTTGGTATGGGACACTATTGATGGCTTAGAGGAACTATCAATTACCTTCAAATAGAACAAAGGTAAATAAATAAATAAATAAATAAATGTGGCAAATACAAATTATTGCATCTTTGATTTTTTTCAACTTATAATCATCTTTCTTTGTGGAACTTGTTCCTAGAAAGGTAAGAAAATATCTCAAACATCACCAATATTAATAATTACATGAATAAGAAGAATTAGATAGAAATAAGTATAAACAAATAAATTATATAATTTCTTATAGACTAGCTTCTTAAAAGCTTCATAAATGTGATATGTATCTCATTTTTTTTTATTTAAATACTTTGATATATTTTCTTTTATATATCATCATCTTTAAAATTACTATTAATATCTATAAATATAATATATAATAAAAATTTCTTTATTTCTTTATTTATTACTATAATATATTCTAAAAAATTTATATATTTTTATTTAAATTATAAAATAAAAATTAAAAGAAAATAATAATTTGGTGTTTGTACAAATTATTATATATTGCATGTTGTTAAGGATAATAACTTAAAAAATATAAATAAATAAAGAAGATGTATATATAAAAATATAATATATATATTTATATTTATATTATTATGGACATATATATATTTACTATGATGTTTACTTATATGATTAAGTAGAAATAAGTAAAAGGAGATTTATTTCATAATATTTTCTAGAAAAGCTTCTTAGAAGCTTCATAGATGTTGTTTTGACTTTACAAGTGTTTGTAGTTGATTGATAGGATAGAAACTTGGTCAATAAGTTAACCACATGTTGGTAGCTTGTAAAACAAGTTAACTATGTCGCATACATATAGAAAACTTGCTTAACAAGTTAAAATACATGTCTTGCAAAGTCAACACATTTTGAAGGTTATATAAGATATTGCCACATACCTCTTACTTAAGAATATATATATATAGAGGCAAGAGTGAAGCCTTCTTCACTCTTATCAATGCTTTTCTAATCCTCAATCTTGTTTCAAGACTTTCTAATCTTTTTGTCTTTGACAATAGCCATTCGAGTTTAATAATATATCTTTGAGTGATTTTCTAGTCTTTTTAAATGTCACAAGAATATGTTGACATTTTAGTTCTTTGAGATTCATGTCCTTGATAGTTTGATAAGAGTGTTATTTTTTTATTCTTGTCTTGTTTTAATAGTGAGTCAATTATTCTACTTTTATTATGATATTTTGAAGGTTTTGGATTATCTATCTTTAAATAAATTATTTAATTTTCTAACACCAATTTTTTTTTCTTAAAGAAAGTGGATTATTCCTCTTTGTGGAATTTTTTATTTGATATTAGAGATTACAAATTATCTCCTTTTCATTTGACTAGTAGATTTGAATCTATTTTTTTTCTTTGTAGAAGTAAGAATAGATTTGTAACTATTGCAGATCTTTACAAACTTATCAATACTCTTAGAGTGGAAATTTTATACATCATTAGTACCAACCATAAAAACACTAAACCTATATCTATAGAAGAAGTTTACAACATATAATAAGAATTTGTGTAATTGAAAGAAGGAAGTAAATCAACCTCATAACCAAATTTAGGAAGTTTTGCTTCTACAAGTATAATAGAGATACAGATTAATATGCCAAATAAGTTTAATAGAATGAGATCAAAATTTTGAGGATTTCTACAATAAGTCAAGTTCTATCTAAGATTGCATCTCTTCCAATACCTTGATGGATTTTCTCAAGTTAGATTTATAGCCACACTTCTATCTGGAAGTATTCTTTCTTAGTTTGTATCTTTAATCAAAAAGAATTTCTGACTCTTTTATGATTTGAATTCATTCTTAGAAGTATTTATGGCTACATTTGAAAAAAGTATTCTAGGAAGAATAGGAAAAACTAAGCTCTTATCTTTACGATAAGGATCATGATCAATCACCATATATGCTACTAAATTCCAAAATATTGCTTGCGCTAAGGATTGGAATAACAAAGTCTTTATCAATTTTGATATGGATAGAAGGATAATGTCAAAGGTTTATTATTGTTAATATCAAGGGCAAAATCTTTGGAATAGTTTATTGTTCAAATCATTGTATATAACAATCAATTGTTTGAAAGGCATTGTTGTATTACGTACTTTCTAACTTGAGAATGCATCGGGCATCTAGTTGTAGAAGATAAAACAATGTTTTGCAAGTATCCAAGTAGTCTAGTGGATTTCAACCATCTAAATACAAACTATTTTGGATTTCAATATAAAAGCTTAATCCTAATACAAAGTGCTTAAAAATACTATTTTTAATAACTTTTAGATAATATAAGTACAAATTCTTTTGTTATTTGTTAGTTTTATTATTATTCTTATTATTATTTTATTAGTTTTTATTTTATTTTAATTTTTTAATTTAATTATTTATTTATTTATTTATTATTTTAAAACCCTAACTCTACACAACGAGCTTCGATAAGCTGTAATTTTCAATATGACCGTCTGATTGTTGAAAAACTTCTACGACTAGTGTCTTTACAAATCCTCTGAATGCTCAAGAAGTTTCAATCCAATCCAACTTACAAATTGCAAGAAAGCGCCATAGATCCACACTGATGTCCCTTGACCGCTGCCTAGAAAGTTGATGATAAACTTTGACTTGTAATTTCTCCTTTTCTAACTATTAATTCTCATTCAAACTTTGTGTGCAGCTCCACCTTTAAGTCCTCGACTTATTACGACTAAATTCACCTTATTCCAGTTGATAGATCTCTAGATATTACAGAAACTGTAAACAACCCTAATATGCCAACTTTTGATACCTCTTTATACTAATGATCAAATATCCTCTATTTGTACCGTTAGTTTAATACAAATTTTTGCATGCACTTGGCATATTCAACCATCTAGACACCTAAAATTTCAACCACAGATGTCTCTCCAATTTTCCAAAACAGTTAAGAGTATTAGCCTTAACTTTATTACAAAAAAAATCCAAATCACAATACAAACACTGACTTTGAGCAACAATTGCCAAGTCCTCCCAAATCCTATGAAAACTAAGTCTTATACCTTTCGAAGGAGCTTGAAGCTAGCTCTCCAACCCCAAAATCTCGATCTCCGAATGCCCTCTTTTCTTTTCCTCTTTATTTTATTTTATTTTATTTTTTTATTTTTTAATTCCGTGATGTTTCCTATTCTTCTGCCCTGGATTCGGAATTGGAATAGCAGACTATACTTCTATGGAATTCCCACCTCTAAGAGGATCTTTCCATGAAAGGATGTTTCTCTGAAACGCCATAAAGAACGAAACAGCTTGAAATAGAACCGAAGCCTCCGTAATCGGGACCTCATTGGATTGCCCAACCAAATCAGGTCTCATACTAGATAAGAAGCCCGTAACAGGATCTAGATTGGATGTTCCCATAATTGGGTCAAATTGGTCCTTCGCATCTAAATGTTGAATTGCTCCTTTCTTCTTTTGCCGATTCTTGGTAAGAATGGCTTGGATACATTACATCTGATTTACCGAAGAA